TTTCTTTCTTTCTTTCTTGACAGAGTCTTACTCTGTTGCCCAGGCTGGAGTGCAGTGGCACAATCACAGCTCACTGCAACCTCTCTCTCCCAGGTTCAAGAGATTCTTCTGCCTCAACCTTCCCGAGTAGCTGGGATTACAGGCGCATGCCAACGTGCCCCTGGCTAATTTTTATATTTTGTATTTAGTAGACATGGAGTTTCGCCATGTTGGCCAGGCTGGTCTCGGACTCCTGACCTCAAGTGATCTGCCCGCCTTGGCCTCCCAAAGTGCTGGGATTACAGGACTGAGCCACCGCACCTGGCCAGGGCTTTTTCTTAAAAGAGCGATTGAAATCTGCTCATGTCCCCCGCCACATGGGTCTCACGCAGGTCTGTTCTCTGTTCCAGGTCTGCCATGTGAATCTGGAGGGGCAGCCGTTCTACTCCAAGAAGGATAGACCCCTGTGCAAGAAGCACGCACACACCATCAACTTGTAGGCGGCTGAGGCTGCCTGTGCTGATGAGGCCCAGAGCTGCTCCTGCTGCTGGCAACAAAGGATTCGGGAGGCTGATGTTTCTTCTGAGGGGAACAGGGAGAGAAAGGAAGCAACTGAGCCCTTTGGAAGTATAATTTTAGGTTTTTTTCTTCTGTACACAAATCGTGTATTTGCATAGTTCAGACTAGGAGCCAAATGAAGACTCAAAACCAAGCTAGTTATTAATCTAAGACTGGAATTGTGCTTCAGACATTTAGAGCAGAATTCCAAGAACTCAAAAGTGAAAAGCAACAAGCAGCTTTCCCAAAGCGATACACTTCCTGCGGTCACCAGAGGAGGACAGAGCTCAGAGCAGCTGTGGAGAATCTGAAGCATTCTGTGGAGTTCTTAAGCGCTCCCCTGGCAAACAAATTGAAGTGCCAAACAGCACTCGCTGCAGGGTATTTTTAGAGTCATAGCTGAGAGCTTGTTAGCTAAGACCCATTGGGCTTTCCTCACCAAAAAAGGAAGTGTTATTCCATTACTAGCGTCATGGAGCTACCTCTGCGCATCAGACTTCAGACCTTGAACAAACTTGAAACATTCTAATGGGAGCCCGGACGTCCAAAGAGATGTCTTCTGGGAGCCACTGGGCAATTGCCAGGGCTCCAGGAAGGGCTCTGGCTCAGGTTGCAGACAGCTGAGAAAAGATGGCCCTGTCAGCCACCCTCTCTCAGTCTGAAACATCCAATGTCCCCAGAAGGCTTAGCTCCTTTTTGAATTGTGATGGGAAAGTAGAATTGGGTTTTTCCAGTTTTGCTCTGTGGTGTGTGAGAGATTTTTTAAAGGCTCTGGGTTGTCTTTGGCCTTTGTTTAGCTTTAAGGGTTCGTTAGTATGAGTGTCCAGTCGTGTGCATGAATTTCACCCCAACCTGTGACTGCTCACTTACGATGTCTCCCCCAGTACCCTCCATCTCAAATAGGCTTGGTGGCCTGTGGAAAAGAAGAGAGACAGAGAGACAGTGTCTGAAACAGGATGGCAGAATAGGCTCACATGCCCAAACTCTGGGTGGGGAAGAGAAAACTTACTTTCTGCCACCCTCGGT